CTCAGTGGGCTCTTTCGACGGTCAAGTGTACTTCACAATCCGTGAAACAGCAAAAAACACGGCCTCACGGGGTTTGATTCTGACAAAATCACTTACTTTCAAAATCTGACAAAAAGCCCTGAAGCATCGACAACGGGGGGTGACGGCATCCCGGTGGTTATTCGATCTATCCGCCCCTTCCACGGCATGTCTTTCGATAAGGGCCAATTGGTAGGGACCTGCTGAAAGAGATGTCACACGAGTTGAGTCCCGGACAGACGACGGTGCAACCAGTGGTGGTTACGCTCACTGAGCTTAACCGCCAGCCTCTTGCTGCACTCTGGGTACCTGATTACGGTTGACAGTGCGTGGCGCTGTTGAGAGGCAGTCAGAACTCTCTGTTCTGTTAGAGAACATCCCCACTGTCCTGTCAGTCAGGTAGCAGCATTCTGCTAGCTGTGTAGGAGGTTTTTGTGCCTTTTAGAGGCTTTTCCTCGGGTAGAAGATAGCGCAGACATTTGTCACGAAACATCACAGATGTCGTGGCCAATCATAGTGTAGTCTGATTGGCTGTTTTTCTCTCCCGTCCGAACTAATATTTTTTCAGTTCTTCCTCCATCCACACACGTGTCTCCTGCTGCTTCCTGCCCTCTCCACTACAAGGAAGCCACAGTTTTGTCGACATGCACTCGTACGTGTATGTCGACGAAAAGTGGACCTTTTTGACGAAGGTCAAGAGAAAGTTATATGTCTAAGCCGACGAAGGGATTTCAACCAGCCAAGTCAAGTCCAAACTATATATAACCAAGGTCATGTTTTTGTCCGCGGTTGCAAGGCCTCGTTATGACCACCAAAAGAAGTGCATTTTCGACGGCAAAATCGGGCCGTTCGTTCCGAAAGTCCCCGCGAAGCGTAGCAGCTAGAACCGACCAAAAGGATCCGTTGAGACCATTCCTCAGGCAGTGACAAGTGACATGTACCGCAACATGATCCTGCACAATGTCGTGCCTGCCATCAAGAGGAAGTTCCCACGGCGTGACCAGGCGCGCACGATATATCTGCAACAAGACAACGCGAGCCTTACAATTGTGTTACCACTGACACAGTTGCTCAGCATGGCGTCGTAGGTATTGAAACAGCAAACCAGCCACCAAATAGCCCAGTTGCTCAGCATGGCGTCGTGGGTATTGAAACAGCAAACCAGCCACCAAATAGCCCAGATTTTAATATCTTAGACTTAGGGTACTTCAATTCTATTTAAAGCCTACAAAGTCAAAAGTGTTCTCGGACAGTCGAGGAACTTATTGATGCGTAGAAAGCTCATTTTGTGGGGAGCCGCCTTTTTATACACTTTCTAAAACCTTCATTACCTTGCAAAAGGTAATGGAGATGTCACTTGAAAGTAAGGGTACGAATGGTTACAAGCTTCCTCACATGCGAAAGGATGCGTCCATAAAGCCTTGACTCTATTCAATGTCAAGTGTGATCCACTTACCTACGATCATGCTGTCGATCATTTGACAGTGAGTGGACGTTGAATTCCCCAAACACAACCCTTGTCATAATAACGTTAAAAACAAATCGTCATTATATTTACGTGAAGTGTTATTTGTTCTCAAGGTTCAATACAAACTTTAAGATATTTGAAGTGTCCCACCACTAACATTACAGTATTACTTCGAAGTACATACTACAGTAGTAATTATGTATATGGATTTCAAATATCCGTGAAAGTATCATGTGTCATCCAAACGTCATCCAACATTAATATTAGGTCATATCCTAATTAGTATAGATGAGAGTAAATTAGGATAATGCTATGTCATTGCATACAGGCCTCGTCCGGGAGCGGCACGGCCTACGGCCTACCTGCCGCTGCCCGACAAGAAGAAAAGATAGATCATTCGGTGAAGTGAGAGGCTTAGATCCGCGCTCTCGTACGGCCGCGCTTGCGCAGACGGCCTCCCGGGCGCTCGGGGCCAACGTAAGGCTACTTTAGGCTTCATCCCACAACTTATCCAATTTCATCCCATGTCATCCACATGTCATCCACGCTTTGATTCAACAATTATATTATATTAACCATAGTATCCAAGGTTGGTATTAATATTAAATGCTGTCCCGTAAGTCTTAAGTACTTATATGGTAGTATGTGGCGTGTGTTCATCAACCAGTTTCACTGAAAAATCGGTCGAAATGACCAATTCCCAGATCGATACCGTGTTAGTACAGTCCACGACATTCATTTAAAACATTTCGTTTTTTACGGATAACTTCGCCAAAAACGCTCGGATTAAGCTCAAATTAGCACCAAAATATCGGCCTTGATTGGCCCGATCTAATGGCGCCACTAAAAGGATGAAATTTGACTGAGTAATCACGGGAAAACTGATTTTGGGGTGCGACAGTCACTTATGAACACAACATTGAACTCGTCAAAAATGTACCAAGATTCAATTGTTAGACAACATAAAGAACGCTAGTACTTCGTTTTTCCACCTTTGGCAGCAACCACTTGCACACATCGCTTTGACATGGACTTGTTAATCAACTTTTTCAAGTATCGGTGGTCAATAGAGTCCCAGACAGCAGAAATCGCGCTTTGAAGCTCGGAAACGCTTTGGTACTGCTTTCCATTGAGGTAGACCTTGCGCGCCAACCACCCCCAAACGTTTTCGATGCGATTGAGGTTGGGTGAAAGGGCTGGGTGGTTGAAAAGTATCACCGACTGCCCCGCTAGAAAAGCCTTGGTGCTTGCAGCCGTGTGAATGCTTGCGCCATCTTGCATGAAGATGAACGAAGGGCCATAGTGCTGGTGCCCAAACGGAAAGAGATAGTTGTCGAGTGTGTCTTGGTAGGCGTTCTGGCGGCCTTCCAAGAATGCCAACTGGGTGCAACCGCGGCCGGAAAATCCATCCCACACCATGACACTGGCACCACCAGAGTTCCGCGTAAAGTACGTGTCCTTCTCGCGCCGTAGGTCGTGCCAATAGTATTGGAACCCATCTGGTCCAAGGTGGAAAAACGAAGTACTAGCGTTCTTTATGTTGTCTAACAATTGAATCTTGGTACATTTTTGACGAGTTCAATGTTGTGTTCATAAGTGACTGTCGCACCCCAAAATCAGTTTTCCCGTGATTACTCAGTCAAATTTCATCCTTTTAGTGGCGCCATTAGATCGGGCCAATCAAGGCCGATATTTTGGTGCTAATTTGAGCTTAATCCGAGCGTTTTTGGCGAAGTTATCCGTAAAAAACGAAATGTTTTAAATGAATGTCGCGGACTCTACCGGTATCTAGAGTGTCGACACAATACACGTTTGCTGTTTTCAAATATGACAGTCATGCTGTCTTGGGCCTACACATCCGTAGAAATGCCATTATACAAACAATTTAAATCGTGTATTACTGTGTATCAGGAAGCATACATAAGTGGTAATGTTAGATCGATTATTAAATTGGCTGTGAACGAAATTCATCGGAAATTTCGAACCGAACTCACATTATGATTGGTAACAATAGAGCAATATTTCTGCACTCTGCGATATCTCATTGGACAAATATTAGAATGCACATGTCAAAAGTTTTCACTTCATTTGAGGTGGTCACAACAGGCAGCAATGTCATCTTATCGCGTGAGTGAAGAAGCCCAGCTTGTAATGGGCTTGCATGCCGCCCAGTACCCCCAATTCAGTGTGACCGGCCTTCTCGTTGGAAGGGATTCCGGAAATACCATCGAGGTTCTGAAAGCGTTCCCTGTGTGCCATCAGTCGCCGACGGCGCCACTCTTCGAATTTGCGTCCACCTCCATCGAAGTCGAAGCTGCAAAGCTCAAACTCAAGATTGTCGGTCTGTACGTGGCGAACTCTCGTGTTGACGATAGCTCGCTGGGTCCAGTGCACGCGCGGATTGCAAGTACCGTGGAAGCGAACGCCACTCGCTCGTGTGTGTTGGTATTGGACAACCAAGCCCTTGCAAGCGCCAATCTGTGGCTCAAGGACATCAAGCGGGGATGGGTGCGTGTCGACAACCGCCTCGTGTACGAGGATGATGACGGCAAGTTGCTCGTGTCGTCGCTGGAAAAGAGATCGCAGCTGGCGTCCATCGCCGACGCCACCCTCCAAGTCGTAGACTTTGACGAGCACTTGGAGCAGTTGGCCAAGGATTGGCGAAACCCCCAAGTATTGGCTTTGGCTCGTTTGCAAGTGTAGTTAGTAGTCGTTCCTACGATTCACTGTCTCCAGCCTGCTACTAGTACTACTACTACTACTACTACTAGTACTGTTCTGGCACGTTGTCACATTTTTCAAACTTCGTCAAAATACAGACGACATGCTAGTCATGTAGATATATTATTATTAGTTGCGACGCAGCCAAAACGCAAGGCAATTCGCCCCCACGCCCTTGTCAAACGGGTTGTAAAACTCGTCGTCCATGTCCTTCAAGTACGAGTACTTGGCCTTGTTGAACATTTCATTGGTCGTGAGGTTCACTGCAATGTTGCGCGCTTGCAACCTACGTCCACGATGAGACTCCAAATCAGACGATTTAATATATATATATACCCAAGCAAGACGAGGGTTGGGCCCCCGAATGCCACCCCCACGACCAAAATGTACACGTGTATCAGGTGCAGCGTGTATCCCGCCTGACTCGGTCGTATCGAGTAGAGAAAATGGGGCAAATGCGCTTCCCAGATGGCTGCCGTCGAGTCCGCCGGCACCTACCGCCATCATGTTGAGCATCGTTTTGAGTTGTTATGGAGGGCTGGCGACACAATACATCTTACCAGAGGGACAACGCCAGTCAAAACCAGCAGCGAAATCAGCGCCAGTAGCAGGCACAGGCTCGACAACGACGCCAGGAACACGACAAACCCCCGATGGTTGTGCTGGCCCACGCAGTTATTGATCCACCTACAACAACACACAACCCAGTCAGGGCTACAACTAGTAGTACTAGTACTAGGAACGTACGGGCAGTGGTGGTCGAAGCGATGGACACAGCGTTTGCATGTGGCGCAATGTTTGGATCGAATCGGTTTGAGCGTCGCACAGCTCGGACACGGCACCGAGTCGGCGGCTAGTAGCTCGTACACGGGCTGGGACGTTGTCTGGGCCACGAAGCTACAGACGGCTTCGAGTCAATGCTACTAGTACTACTATATAGCAATCTCGTGATAAGAGTACTAACCCGGGGTCGGCCAGCCACACATACACGTACGAAACGCAGGTGACCCCCCCCAGAGCCAGCACCACACCAGCCAATCCGACTGGAAAAGACGCCATGCACGGAACAGCAAACAGGAGCGACAGCACAGTGGTCGAGACCAAAGCGATCCAGAAGAACACGACCGTCGCGCCCTTTCGGGACATCGTCGCGATCCATCTACACCACACAAGTCGACAGATGATGTGCTAGTAATACTAGAAACGACCACCCCCACCTGTCACTCGATCCCGACGTCAGCGCGTGAATACACTCGCGATTCGACGCTTGGGTAGCAATGACCAGCGCCGTGCGGCCCTTCCGGTCCATGGCCTTGAGCGGCGCGCCTTCCAGGACCAGCTGCTTGACCAAGAACGCATCGTTTAATGCGGCTGCAATCATGAGCGCCGTCTGGCCCTGGGTGTCCTGCACCGACATGTCCGTGCCTTGCCCCACGAGCAGCATCGCCGTGTACTGGAACCCCTCGTACACTGCCCAGTGGAGCGCGGTGGCGCCGCGGTGGTCGACGGCGTTCGGGTCTGCACCTCTTGTCAACAACAAACTCACGAGACCGGCGTGGCCGGCGCTGGCAGCGTAATGCAATGGCGTCATGCCTACACGTCCAATTTGTTCAGATCAACCGACCGAGCGGATACTGTATGGGTGTGTCTACCGGTCGAGTTTTGGGAATGGACGAACGCGCCAGCTTGTAGCAGCATCAGCCCACATGTCACGGACTGCACGAGCATCAATGCAGTCGCATTGTGCCGCTCGACGCCGGCTTGCGCGTTGACGGCTTGTCGACACAGTTTCAAATCCAGGAGATAGCGCATCACAAGCGGTTGGTCGTAAAACGCTGTCGCCATCAACACTGTCATGTGGTACTTTGGATGGACCACCGTGACGAGCGACCGCAATTCGTCGTCGCCCGCGACCGATTCGACCAAGCGCTGAGCTTGGAACGCATCCCCCGCGAGACATGAGTCGAAGAAGAGACTTTGGACAGTCGTCAACTGGGACGGCGATTTCGACAATTCAAGGCCGTCATCAAGATAGAGAATGCACTCGCCTTCAGGGGGCGACGGTGAATTTTCAGGCTGTTGAGCGTCGAGGTAGGGTGAGCCCACGAGGGCCTGGTAGCTTGCAGCTGGTGAGGAGCATGACTTGTAGCTTGAAGGGCTCAATGATGAGCTGATCGCTTGAGCCTTTCCGACCAACGGAGTTCTTTCCGTCGCATCCACCAGTCCCTTCAACGGCGCGCCATTCAGCGCACTCTCCATGCTCATATGATATCTGTCGTTTGGTAGAGTATGAAGTTTCGATTAACCGGATGAAAATCTTACCTACTACTGTTATAGTAGTATTAATAGTAGTACTACGTGTAATTCCACTATAGTATTACTAAAACACTGTTGAAGGATGATTGCGACAGAAAATTCGGCAGCATTATTAATATCTATCTTGCTTTCAGTATGCGATGTAGATTTTTGAATCTGAAAATACAATAAATGTATCAGTCGCAATCAATCATCCTTGGATACAGGTAGTATAATACTTCAAGTAGTATTATTATTCAATTGTATTATTAGTATTAATACTATTGTAGGGGCCTTTTGGGATGATGCATCAGAAATGACACTGTAACTCCTGTATTTCTTAGGCAATTTCTACGCTTCTTTCAAATAATATTTCTTCAGATTACACTTGAAAAGTTTTACATTCGAAGGAAGCGTGCGCAGTGTCATCATCACCTTCTAAACTTGAACGGTAAAAGTGGCAATGAAAAACAACACCCATTTTGTACTTAGTAGGTGCTAGTACATACTAAATATCTGATTCCGGATAATTGATTGGCTAAATATCCCATGAACACGTTGTTTTTATTGGATAATTAATATTCAACATTATCGTCAAACTCATCAAGAAGCTCACTCACATCAGGATCATCTCCATCGTTCGACACAACATCGTCCTCGACCAAGGGTGTTTCATTCACTGTTTCAAGGTACGCGTCTTCGAATCCTTGAACCTTACGATAGGCAGATACCCACAACTCGTCATCCAACTCGTTGAAGTGTGCATGCAGGCGCGTGATCAGCTCAGCAACGGTTTTTGATGGCCGTCGCGCGATCTTGTTCTTGACAGCACCCCAAATAAGTTTAATCGGCTGCAATTCGGGATGGTACGGGGGCGTGTAGTACAATGTATGTCCACAATTCGTCGCAATGACCTGAGCTGCGTAGATTGGCGGCCGTCGTCGCGCCTTGACCAGCTCTAGAAGTTCGGCTTTTGTCAACTCTTGGCCAAATTCAATACCCTCGATGGTAAGCCACGCTTGAATATCCACCTTCTTGTTGACTGATGTTGGTGACGCTGTCGTGTTTCGCTTATGGTATCTTGCTCCATCCATGTGAATGTTAGTTGGTCCGTAGGTATCCCGCAGCGTTGAACACAGGTTGGCAAACCACATCTCCAAGAGCTCAGCATTAAAGTTACCATGGTAGTCGTCGTCGTCGTCATTGGAAATGTTCCGGTTCTTGCGCTTGGCCCTACGTTGTGATGGCCACATCTTCAGCGACGATTCAACCATACGTCCGACCAGCTTGTCCCCTTCAAGTTTCACGATGCCAGCACCAACAATGCACACACGGGGACCCTTTCCACTCTTCGTTTTGCGTAATCGGCTTTCGTCCACCCATGTCTTGCCGGTGGAGTGATTCAGATTGCAGTAGGACTCTCCAAAAATACTTCTGGGAGCGCCGGCATCGCGTCCGCACCACTTTCTTGCACGCGATTGTTGATCTTTTTCCGCAGGTACTTTGCTCTGAAGGCCACATTAGCTTCCGTCTCGGCCAGGTAGAACCTTGTTTTGCCTTTCTGGTGCTTGAACCCCATTCGCCCGAGTACTCGTCGCATGGTTCGTACGGCAACGTCCACGTTGTACGTCCGTTTGAGGTCATCGCAGATTGTGGTAGCTGACACTGGAGTGCAAGTATCGTTGGCTTGTTTGATGATCTCGCGTATTTCGGTGGTGAAGTGGTGCGCCACGGACCGGGGTCTGTGTCCACGTTTGTCTGACGTTGGTGGGAACGTTGGATCATGGAACTGGTTCCAGTTGGCCACGATGCGCGAAATAGTTGCACTGCCGATGCCAAGGCACTCTGAAACGGATCCTTCCTTTACGCCCTGGTGTGTTCTCCGCCTTCTTCTGGGTGAAGTATGTGTGCGCTTTTACCAGGAGGAGCTTTTCGGCTGCTGACAGCATGCCGTTTGTCCATAACTTTTGTGTTTCTGGTCCAAATTTGGAATGGTTCAGTGCGATAGAATGCTGAAATCATGCTCTATCTACCATTGGATTGGACACTACAAAATTCGCAGTATTTGATATTTATATTACAGTTTGTATGACCTTGGTATCATCCCAAAAGGCCCCTAAAACTACTATGTTATGCGAGCCAAATGCTCCCTACAAAACAGCCAATCAAAGCAGAAAACTCGCGCTAAACAACCTACCAATCACATATACTTCGAAGTACTGAATTTGCACATTTTCAAACAATCCCGCCAATGCGAAGTCAAACCAAGCTATCATTGCAGACCAAAGTAGTACGTTATTAATAGTACCAGGCAGTATTATTATTTATATTTTCACAATATTCATACTAATTCTAGTACTAGTAGTACTACTGTATCGGTGTAGTTCACCAGTCCAACTTGGCCGAGGGCTTGATGGACTGAATCAGTTCGACGGCGGGTGCTACTTTTTGTGATTTGGTCCGTCGGTCGTACGAGCTCTTTTGCATGTTCAAACTACACAAAGCGACGGAATTATCGTTTTTGATGCAAATGGTACACAGCATACCTGTGCCCCATGTAAATGGCCAGCGCTTCCAAATCTTTTTCCGTGGCCGAGCTTTGACCGCGCAAGTACGTGACGATGCTGTCCCGCAACAAATGTGGGTTGGTCTTTTTTCCAGTGAGCTAACGGAAAGTGCCAATTTAGGTCGTACGAAAATGCACCAATCATAGATCGTTATTTGAATATGCACCAATCATACAGTGAACCTCTGAATTTCTATTCACAATTACATACAAAAAGGAAGGTTAAAATATACGACTTCAATTGGCACTCAAAATTATAGAGGTTCCGAGTCTATAACGGTTTCCAAGGACTCCAAGCCTTGTCCAAGAGCATAAGAACTTAATTATGGGTGGTTGTTCACCAGGGAATTCTCTACCTTTAGGACTATTTAGAATTCGAAAATGATCAAGCAGGACGGAGATATGCCCATGTTTTGAAATCAAATGAAAGTTGTTTGTCATAAATTGACATTTTACGTTAGGAAGAAACATACAATAACGTCAGGATTAGTTTACACCTCGAATATTATATATATTATACAAGGAAGTGACATTTGCATAAACCAAGCACAAAGTACCCGATAAATCGCCCTCGTAAACGTCCGATAGATAAAATCCGCGGTCGCGGGCTCGCCCTTGGTATTGCAAAACAAGATCGCGTGGTTATTTGTCGGCTTCAACTCTTGGCGCCACGTCGACAGGAACGCTGTCAAGTACGGCACGATGTGGTCTGGTATCACCTACATACGCCTATAGCGTCACATCCGTTCTAATTGGACAATCGAATGAATTTGACAAAGGTTATTTGAGAATGCCCAATCAAACTTCACGAACGAGAAATTGCAACCAATCATCGATTAGTATAGTCAAAATGTATGTTCATCTCCAAATGTGTATACTATACATTGAATAAGATTAAACTATGACTCCAGTCGATTCTCGAATTCCCCGCCAAAAGTCCAAATTTCAGCGACAAGGACAATATATATTGGTGTGTTTCTTCGGTCAACTGGAGCGACATATGTACGTCATCGACACACAACCAAAGGAATCGAAGAATCGGCAAAAGAATTGCGCCAATCAGATTGCACGAAACCATCCTCAACATCGAATTCGTGTATGACTTTAATTAGTGTGATTGGTGGTGGCATCATCATCACCACAGGACATTTCTTTACATACAAACAATCAATACAAACAAGAATCGATCGATAGTCCGCACCAAAGTCCAAAATTTTTGGGTCAAACGCCAATGTAGTTGTTAGTATGTCAAGAGTGAACCGTTGATCAAAATAGTAATACTATAGTACACGTACAAGGGGCGGCCGCTCGCCATAAGCTTTGCCCGTCTTGTAGTCGTCAGGTCCGTGCGTGATAGTCCATTGCCCCGCCGCATTCTGATGCAAAGTCCGACCGATTTCAATCTCACGAAGCGTCCGCTGGCGGTCGGGAATTCCAGAAAAGATGCCCAACATGACACACTTTTGATAACTCGCGGCAATGGCATACCTACTCGATAATATTGAGAGTCAAAACTGATATATAAAAATACAGAGTTAAAGAGGACCGAGTTCGAGCCTTTCCATTGGACGTGGTTTCCCCGCATTCCAACTTTAACGCTTCCACGACGGCCAAAAAGTCGGGCCACGCCAGCCATTTCTAACGATATTTGATATCAAAATCATCACGAAAAATACAGAATTTTGCATCTGTTTTAACCTTTTCTTCGTCCACGCTGCGCAGTGATTGGGCAGATTGAAGCGACGTGGTCTTGTGCATCTTTCTAAGCTCGCGAATGACGGGGATATCATCAAAGGCCTTGTCCCCGTAGGTAGGATCCAGCGATGAGTGCTGTCCGTGAAGGTACTTGGCCAATTTCAGCATAGCTCGGATCATGTTGGCGCAGTAGTTGGGCGATGCCTTACGAGTCAAACGCAGCCATTGGATGTACTGGAAGACTAACTGGGCTGACTTTGCTTCGGACGTCGGAATCAACACATCGAGCGTGATGTCGTCTCCCTCCTCCTAGCCAAAACCAAACTTCAAAAGTGACGACATGTACTATACAGTACCAAATTAACGTTTCCGAATTCTTTGGCATATCCGAGCGCTAATTTCGTCAACCGGATATACACGATCGCCGTGGCCTACGAAAATGAACTGTTTGTCAGGTTTGCTATTGTCAAATCGATTCGAAACTGGCGACTAAGAGAATGATTGAAAGAACCACCTAAGCCAATCAAACCACGTTCTGTCGAATTTCTACCAATCCAAAGTAGTATGGATTCGCAGTCCTGATAGATAGACTAAACACTGTACTACTAGTATCAAATAGTAGGAACAAGCTTTGGTTAAACGATGTTGGCAAATTGACGGCAAAGTCCAAAATTGGGTGAAATGCACACAAATACCGAATCAGAATGTCGTTCATGACCACTCACCATTCGAATGGGTGGTTCTTGCTGGCCCAGCGTCGCGGTGGTCATGTGCGCCAAGTAGTTCTGAAGCTGTTGGTCCAGCTTGGGGCTGATGCTTCCTTCCGTCAACCCATACGTGGTCATTTTCTTCTTTCCAATGCGCACTTCGTCGTACGGTGTATGGACCTGCGGCTTTCGAGGGGTAGTCGTCGAGTCGCTAAGGGCAGCGGCCAATGCTTCATCTAAGGCACTGGTTGCGGGCTCAACTTCGAAGGTGCTGCTGGTATCAAGCGGGGTATTGCTGTTGGTCGAGAAAGAAGTCGAAGCGACGGCTTGCTCTTGCAGAAACTGAATCGCGCGCAACGGGATGTTCAACGTGCTGGCATCGGTGGATGTGAGGGCCACAATGTCGCTGGCACTGGTGTACCAATTGTCCTCCAACGCAACGATAAACGGCTCCAGCAAGGACTCTGGCTTATTGAACTTCTTGGCCAGATGAGGTAGCTGGGATCTCGGGAAACTGTCAACAGCGTACGAGCAGCGGGGTGTCGACAGCAGCGGGCGCAGACCTCGCCGCACGCCACTCGCCGTCCGAAACATATCGATGTGCAAGCTCAAAAAATGCAACAACAAGAAATAGTGTCATCCTTACACTATTTAATTTTCTTTTCATACTATCTCCCTTAATTTACATACTATCCCTTAATTTACTGTAAACTTGTACAGTAGTCAGAACAAGGGCATTTTAACTACTTCATCATTACGTTTTGCGGCTATTTTCGAGCATGCTGCACTACAATCCTAGCATAGTCTTTGTGCTCAAAGTCGGGGTAATCTGTCAGCGAATACGGGTCGAGCAAAACAGTGTCGTTGTACACGAGTTTCTACACATGAAATGAGCCGCCATTCACCTCATGGAACGTCGTCAAGGAACCTACGATGGAGGGCATGTGCAAGTCAAATTCTGCCTCTAAGTAGCTCTTCAGCACCACGACTGTCAACCCCTTCTTGAACTATCGTATTTGGCGGTTAGTCGTTGTTGGCTGTGTTACTACACTCCCTTACCTTTTGCCGTGCTTCGGATTGATCTGGTAGTTCAAAAGTGATCTCAATCTCTTCTTCTTGGAGTCTTCGCGCTTCATCTACCTTGGACTCGTGCTCGATGTCATCTTGAGGCTGCTGAAGATTCAGCCGCTGCATCCTGCTCGGTGTATCTGCGCTCCCCCACAGCAAATTTAGATTGCCTCGCTCGCGAAAGGTCGCACCTCTATAAATTTATATCATTCTCACATCGGTTTCGGGTTTCAAGCGCAAAATATTGCCAGCGCCAAGGCGACATGTCGTCGATGCGACCAGCGGGGCACACGAAGAAGGACTCGGAGCCCTTCGGGAAGAAGAAGCTTGGACGGAATGTCGAAGTGTTTATTGCGCGGGAAGAACAGCTCTCCACGGCGATGAGGAACACCAAGGTATCCAACCACATCAAGGGCAGGGCCGTATGGGAGGACAAGCAGGGGAAACGGGGCGTCACATACACGCGCCAGCGAGTGGACAAGCAGTGAGTCCCCTGGCTGTGCAGCTACACATCTGGTGGAGATTACAGTAATGACCTTGCTGCTTCCGTGTAGAATCACTGAAGAGATCGAAATGGCCAACCGCGAACTGCTTGCGATTCGATCCGAGCGCATCAAGGCATACTACACCAACTGCTACATCGCGTACGTTTGACGGGAGTCTCGACTGCACTCACACGGTGCACTTAGATGGGAACAAGAGCTCAATGCGAGAGGACTAGCGTTGGTTCGGGAGCGTGACTGACGGTGGAGTATATAGCCGCTGGATGTGATTCTAAAGTTTGCAGGATAACAGCATAAACCTTCACAATAAGGTCTGCATGTCAAATTGTAACAAGTGGTTAATTATAACGTGTTACAAAAAGTCATATATTCAAGTCCTATCCTATTTTGGCTATTGGCTTTCGATGTTTGGAAATATAACACAATGAACGATATTAAAAATAAATTGGACTCCTCATACATTCTCCGAATGTATTTTAATACAAGTGGGATAGAAAGTTGTGGCGCAGGTCCATTATCGAGCTGACTATTCGTGGTTTGGAAGGATGCCGTACCAAGTAGTGCCGGGCCTTGCAGTGATCACGCTGGCGTTTACCCTGACGGGCGCGGGCATTGGCTTCGTCAACCGTTGGTATGCCAAGGGAAACCAGAAGAAGCTGATCTTGCGAGACGACTGGGATCATTTGCTGGACGCGCGTGACAAGCGGCTCAAGGATCGCGCAGCATGGGAAGCGGTGCTTGAAAAGGAACGACAACAACAACATTAATCTGGAACGATCATGCCTACTCAGACACCTATATGGCCAGGCGTTCGCTCATCAAGACTCCAGACGCTGCCCAGTGACAGTAATTCGAGTGCTGCGTAACATTAATCCACCTGTTTCCCGTACTCCGTCGTTGGCTGTGTACGTACGTACTCACTTGCCTAATTAATTCTACAAGGTGTGCCTGGTCTGATGGTCAGCGCTGGTGAAAGGTCGAACTTATGTAGCTTGGTAATAACTTCAGGCACAACTCGATGTATTGACGAAGGAACGAACTCATATTCAAATTACGCTCCAGCTATCATCACCTGCATGCACATTGCACCTGCACGCAGAACAACTTCCACGCACAAGCTGATAAAAAGCACCAGGAACCCATCTCACTAAGCTAATGAACTACCCGACTACAAGTGTCATCTCACTGCAAAAACTAAGTAAATACACATTCCATCCTCTCTCCTCTCCAGTCCCCATGACATGCAACGTCCGTGCACGGCTTAGTTCTTGGTGGGGCAGTTGCGGGCCCAGTGACCAGTTTGGTTGCAATGGTAGCACTTGTCGGTGGTCGCGTCGTTTTCTTCCGGGCAGTCTCGGCGCAAATGGCCGGAACCGCCGCAGTTGTGGCACTTGCGGCTCTCTTGGCCGTCCTTGGAGCAGTCGCGACGGACGTGGCCGGTTTCACCGCAGTTGTGGCACGCACGAGGACGTTGTTCTTCGGGGCAGTCGCGGCGGAAGTGGGCAGCGCTGCCGCAGTTGTGGCACGCGCGGGTGGACGAGCTGGGGCAGTCACGCTTGATGTGACCGGTCTTGCCGCACGCGAAGCACGCAGCACCGCTGGCGTTTGTGGCGTTCTCACCGGCGTTCAAGGGGCAGTCGCGGCGCAAGTGGCCGGTCTCGCCGCAGGTGTGGCACGCACGGGCGTCGGTTTGAGCGGCAGGGGCAGGGGCTTCCATGGTTGTGTGTTTGTCGAATGCAATAGTGTCTGCATGATGGCGACATAGGCACGTATCCGGATAGTTATCCGTATGGTTCGAATTTTTGGTTTGGTTGGTGGAGCCGGTGTTGAATCCAGTCCCAGATTTGAAGAAAAATGAAATTTGTCCAAGCTTCAGCCAGGAATGGACATGTATGTACATCGGCATGCTTGGACGGGAATGAATATATGCAGATGCTACTGCTCCTGGTACTGTGCTAAAGGACAACGGGCACAGTGCAAGCAGATACGGCTCCTGATGTGTTGACTTCGCATAAACAGACCAGACGGACTGTCATTTTCCGTTTTTGCCTTTTGAAAGATTGACAATCTTTCAATTGTACCTACTTCGAAGTACGTACTAGTAACGTACAGTACTATTAACTCCCCTACGTAGTACTACTAGTACAGTACTGTATGTAGATGGATTATAATACGTAGCGGGTAGTACTTCAAGTATTCATAGCGCGTTACTGCACTAGTACTGTAGTAATTACAGTACCAAGATTGATACTATTAATACTAGTAATAGTTGAACGGTAGTTACTTGGGTGTCTGTGGCTGCGTTCACTAACGTACCATGTGGAAACGTTATGAGTCAATAACAAGTGCAAATGCATTGAATATTATTCCGACTTGGCAACCGCCACTTGCAAGGACGCGCCCTTGTCGCGGGGCACAGCCGTGATCAAGATGCCTTTTCGCTGGTACGCTTCGACGAAGCTGACCAGGTCGGGGTAGATGGGCGTGGCCTTTTGGACTTCTTTTGGCTGCACCGCACAATACGCCCCCTACATGCATCATAACGTTACTAGTTTAGTTGATTGGGAACTACTATCTTAACAACGCATGTATATATCCCACCGAGTCCAAGTGGTAAATGATGTTGTGCTTGATCAGGGGCAGTCCGTCCACGACTTTGTCAATGAACGACGCGCAGTAGCATTTCTGCTTGGCGCTGTATCGAATCAAAAACGCGCCTTGGGTCCCTTCCTAAATATATATATATAGGTACAAGACACTTGTGAGTATCTCGTTTGAGATTTCTTGGATATGTTTGTTTCATAGTACTGTACCGTGGCCAACAGCGTGTGCGCCACAGCGCGGTCGATATCCCCGTGAAAGAAGCTACCCATTTGATTTACAGTCGAGTTGTCATATAAAGTAGTATTGTCGATTTGATACAAAGTTGGGGAGGGGGTGCAATCGAATCGCGCCGACGAAACCGATCCACAATCGATCTGATTGGTTGAATTTCATTGAAAAGGTTTTGATTGGCTAGTTATTTTGAGCTCATCTGAAGTAGCCAATCAAATCGATTTAAATTCCAACACCACAACACGAAATTTCACTCGAAAGCACAATAAATAGTCTTGTGTTTATTCTAAACTGGCGCGGCATGGAGACTGACATAATAATCGACACAACCAAATATGCAGAAGAATAGAGTCAATCAGACCAACATCCAATTAGTGTGACTTAAATTAGTGTGATTCCAAACAACTTCAAAGAATATCGATCCATAGATTTATACTAAATCTGTCCAAATTTTGGGTTAAAGTCGACAATACCTCTCCAGGCCGCTGTCGCGCAGCCGAGCCAGCCGTCGCGCGAGCTGAAAGTTCTCATCCGACGAGAACTTTTGCATGCACTCGATGCTCCGTTCCGTCTTGGCCAGCTATACGTACGTATACTAGTTAGCTCCAACTGTAAAGTAATAGTACAGTACTTTCATCCCCTTTTTCAATCATCCAATTTGTGTCAATGGGATGATCGTAAACACATACATGCAAATGGTTGAGGGCATGCCGAATAATGTAAATCGGTGCGCGCAACTCGTCAAACAAGTCCGCGTTCGACTCGTTCGGTTCCAACTCAAAGCTACAAGGACCATCCATGCACTCATGAATCTATCGCATATTCTACAGTATATATTCTATAGACGGTAGATTGCACACTTGATGTTGGAGATGTCGGTGGTAGCGCGCAAGACGGTGTCGTACTGGTTCCACGCCCACAGACCAATGCGTTCGTGGCCGTTTCTAAGCAAGTTCGTCACCCATCCAATCAAAAGTCGGCCATGTTCGTACGCTGCGCAGACAAAGAACCGGCCAGCCGCATGCGCATCTTCGAGCCACTCGAACACGGACGTGTGGAACGGCTTGAGCTCGTTCTCGTCCGACACGTACAAAAGCGACTTGAACGACCCGAGAAAGTCCCTGTGAGCATACGACTACCAGCCCAAATAGAATGTATATTTTATTATGTGTATTTTAACATATATATATATATGAATATTTACCCAAATAGAATGTATATTTTAATATATATATATATATATAGAGTGAGAGGAATATTTACGTACGTCCCACTTCATGATATTGTGCAATGTCGACATATGCAGCGGCTCAAAGGCGGCACACAACACCTCCAACAACGGCCGAACGCTTGTCTACTCAAGGCTATGCCATTATACTTGTCCAAATAATATAAGAATATTTATATATATATAATATTACTATTATTGATACCTCGTAATGGAGCGCAGTGAATTGATCTTCAAAGTACTGACGGAGGTACCCGCCCATGCCCACGGGGAAGCTCTCGAGCTTGTCGAGCGTCAGCCGTTTCTGGCTCAACGCATTCACAATATGACTGGCGTACAGGAACAACCCTACGTATCAAATTACGATTTATCAGCAGTAGTATTACTTGTAGTAGGTCCAACCTTCGGAGCGCTCGACGATAAACCGCAGCGTGGCGGCAGGAACGTCCTTGTCGGCCTAAATCGTTCAAGATCAGCATGCATGACGAGGATGATGTCCTAGTCGTACATTGGCAACGAACTGAACCAAAGCCAATTGAAGGTACTTTAACATGTCGTCCCTGGTTTGGTGGCCACACTTGTCTAGTGCTACTTGGGGCACCAGCCTACATACACCATATTGTATTAGATATGCAACGTCAGTTCAAACATAAAAGCACATATAGTAGCTCGAAAACTCCACAAATCCGTGAAAAATAGGTTGGGAACGGCGTACCCCTGCAACTTTTGCATCACGGACGGATCTTCGCGACTGGTGAGGACCCAGCGCACCCACGGCGGCAGGTTGCGCACCGCCGCGGCCAGCGACGACACGAAGCAGTTTTCCACGGCATTTGAGTCTTGGAATGCATCCAGGCCATCGATGAGGATCACCTGCAAGATTTCTCAATATATATATATATAGTTTAGGGATATTACAATACACATATTCTGACCCAAAACGCCATCCATTTTGGGGCCCAATTCAATAGTACATCGGACAAATATATATATATATATATAT